TATGCAGGGGGTCGGACTCGATCTATTGAGGTCTCTTCCAACCCTAACATCTATGAATCTATGAATCTTGAGTGAGTCCCTTGCTTGGATGCTCTAATCCTCCTTGCCAATCCTGTCAACCAGCTGGTGAAAAGTCAGGGCTGACGAAGCCCACTCCCACCCTGCATCCCAGTAGCTCATCCCTGCTGAAGCCAGCCTGTACCATGCCTCTGACAAGTGAGCTCCCTGCTGTTAGACTGGGCTCCTGCCTGCTCCCCAAGCACTGAGTTAGTGAGACAGATACTGTGCTGCCCTATCTGTGCATGTGACTGAAATCCTCTCCCAGGGAAATACGATGTCAAAGCCCTTATTGCCTTCAGCAGGGCCAGGATTTTGCTCTGTGCACTGGTCAGAAGCTTGTCCAGCCAGAAGCAGCTGAATATAGACTGGCACTCCCTGCCTGGGTAACCTCCCTACCAGAACAACAACTTGGGGCCCTGACTTGTAGGCCAGGACCCCATCCTCTAGATCAGCGTTTCTTAACCCATGGGTCGCAACCCAAAAGTGGGTCACAAGAATATATTAAAAGGTCATGAACAAACTTTAAAAATTGATTCACTTTTAAAGGAGTAAAATGTCAGTTTTCCCTTGCAGGCAGACAGAGTACCAGCCTGCAAGGGTCTGCTTGGGGCACCCCATGCCTCACCCCCCCCTTCCCCATACACCCACCCCTACCCCCACACTGGGGACTTGGGGCCTGGGGGCAACAGGTCAGGAGTGAGGGCCACTGGGTTGGGACTGGCCAACCGTGTTTACAAATGGGTCCTGGAACAAAAAAGGCTGAGAGCCACTGCTCTAGATTGTGCTGCCTCTAACTCTGAAGAGAGCCCTGTGCATGTGTCCAAATGCAGGACTAGGCACTTGGAAAGGATGAAGAACTCCTGAACACTATACAGTGAACAGAGCATCTGTCATAGGAGTCCAATTGCCCTCGTCTCCCTGCATTGTTCTTTCAAGTCCCATGGTTCCTTTTTTGTGCAGTTAATGTGTATTGGGCTCTCCAAAGGGTGATGGTGACAGGGGCTGGAAAGTGTTTAGCCTGCAGAGATCGCGTCTCCATTCACAGCACCAGCCCCAGAGCTCTAGGCTGGGTGCATCCCCACATCAGTGCAATGTTATTGTTAGTCCTAGAGTCTTTGATGTTATTCCTAAGGCCCAGGTTCATGTGAGACTCTATGCTTTTATTCAGAAAAGTGAATTTCCAGCCCACTTGGATTTAGAGACCATGACCCCACTAAACACAGGGGGCAGAGTGCCACACATCCTGCATTTTAAACCCTATCTCCCATAGGGGGGAATCTGTCTCACCCAAGGAATTGGGGTGGGGGGCGGGGTAACTGCACTGCAAAGCTTATCTTTGCCAGCAGTTTAATGGCTGCTGCAAATGACCCTCTAATTACTGGGTGGCCTGGGTGTGAAATGCTGTCTGAATATGTAAGCAGGGCTAGTGATCAATGCCAGGAGGCAGCTCTCTGCTGTGAGAACCAGACGCGCTTTGTTTATCCGGTGCCTGGATGTGGATTGGAGTTAAATCAGACCAAGGCCCATGCTGGCAGTGGGGGAGGATGTGGAATCTGGAGGTCATCAAGGCCCTGCAGCAGTAGGAAAGGCTTCCTGGCCTCTTCTTAGAGCCATCCCAGAATCCTTTGGACCTGCCATTCAAAGGCGCAATAAGGGTTGGCACCATGACATGTCAAGACGGGATCTGGAGTCTGGACTTTCTCTGCTGGTTGTGGATGGGCTCTTTACCCAACCCTTTCCCTCATAGCAGCCTCAGTGTGATCCACATGAACAACAGTAATTCACAGGTGCAAAACTTGGCTGTAGATTTCCAATTTACAGGCCAGCCAAAAGGACAACTTCTCTGTCCACTTCCTATAGCTCAGAAAGTACAGTCAGCTGTCTTCCTGGTCTCAGAGAATGAAATAAGGGTGAAAAATCTACTTAACTCCCCTCTCCTCTTCAAGGCAGGCAGGTGCTTCACAAGCTGGTGTAGAACAAGGGCCAATCTGTGGATCATTAAAAGAACACTTTCTTGTTCTTTATCTCCTATCAACATATGGATGATCCCATTCATGGGGCAGCCTATATCTATATCTATTGCATTGGCTTCCTCTTGGCCTTCCACCTTGCCTTTTCCTTTGCATTACACATCAGTGCATCAGAACACCACTCTCAAATACCCACATGCATTACTTGCCTAGAGGGGCTTGAAATCATACTTCATCACATTCTGGGAAGCAGGAA